CATTCAGACCTAGCACAACAGTGACATAATCTTGACTGAGGCCTTTAGGTACTACTCTAATGCAAATTACCACCACCACAAGCACAGCAGTGATCATGAGTAAGGGTACAATTCTGTCATGGAGGCCACGGATTCCATGACTTTCCAGGACCTCCATGACTTCTTCCGCATCGGCAGGGCTGAAGCAGCTGTCAATCCCACGGATGCTGGAGCAGCGGCCCAGGACTGAAGCAGTGTGTGTGGGCGGGGGAGGAAATCGGCCCCAGGGCTGCCAGAGCTGCATTCCATAGGGCTGCCAGAGCAGTGGGCTGGGGCCATCCCTGGGGCAGCCGGAGCAGCTGCTGGAGGCTAGCCCCTGCACCGCTCCCACCATTAGCCCCCTTCCTCCCAGGTATTTTTTAGTAAAAGTTAGGGACAGGTCACAGGCTTCCGTGAATCTTTGTTTATTGCTCGCAACCTGTCCCTGACTTTTACTAAAAATACCTGTGACAGACACTTAACCTTAATCATGAGTAACTCTAATGGCAGATGGAGACCAAGATACTGTAGTTCACTTTGCAGAGATTGCTGTAGGCAGATTAAATTGTTTCTGTATGTCTTAGAAGTTGGACAGAACAGTGCAGAAGACCACTTTTATTCAAATTTCCTCCCCATCAGAGAAAATGGTTACAAACTGAAGACAGACTTTGGAAGGCAGACTGTAAAATGGAACAGTAAGGCTGCCAGCTGCTTCCCAGATGAAGGTAGCTTAAGGTCACAGATGCTGAATTATTGGTCTTAGTTCTTATAGGTCGCTCCAGAACTCTCTCTAGCACAGCTGTCTCTGTGACAATGGGAAGAACTTAATCAACAATCTTCCATATAATCTGCATTAGAACAAGCTTTTGGTATTGCCAAAATAAGCAGGTGAAATGTGTTCTGTGCTTTACCTTATAATGCTTGAGAGTTATTCTCAAGCATTTATAGACTCCAATACCAAAAATGTAGAATTACTGATACAGTATATTGAAAGCATTCTTGATGTGAGACAAATAAATGTGAAGATTTAATTGAAAAATAACTTTAGTGGAAATTATTCAGTTTACTTTAGTCTCACTTGTAAAAAAAATTACTGTTGAATTACAAGTTTTTATCTCATCAAAGAATTGTCACCTCATGTAATAAGGTTTAGGAAGAGCAACTGCCACTGGCAGTGCATTGTTTTCCTTTTCCCTGCTAGGTCAAGAGAGAAAATAAACATACTCTGGAGCAGGAATACAAATCTCAGAGCAAGGAAACAGATGCTTTCTATTTGGGGGGGGAAGGGGGAGAAGGGTTGGGGGGACAGAGGGGGTTAAAGGAGTGTTAAAAAGAAAACTAGCCATATTTAAAGAAGCGTATCATATTAAATTTCTGAAAACCTCAATTAATTCCCCTGTTGTAGTACAGGAGCTCTTTACTATAATTTACTATTTTTCTTTGGATGCCAGGTAACATTGTTCACTCACCTACTTTCAGCCAAATTACTACAGAATAGCTGGAGCTAACTGCCCAGAATACTTTAGCACAACAAACCTTTCCAAATGAACTGCAGGTTCAATTTTAACAATGAACTTCTAGCATCTCTGAAGGTCTCAGGCTGGAAAGTAAACTATTTAACATTACTATCTCCATTCTATCGGATACATAAGTGTGCTTTTACTCAGACTTTTAAATTTTGCTTTCTTGGCACAATGACACTAATACAGTGGCTCCCAAACTTTAACAACCCGTGAACCCCTTTCACTAAAATGTCAAGTCTCATGAATCCTCTCCTAAAAATGAATATTTCCAAGGATTTTCTCCCTTACCCGAGGATAAAGTATAAAAGCAGTGATCTTGTAAGTATAAAATTTGTTTTTATGACATGCTTATTACACACTATTTATTATTTATCATTACAGTATTTTATTACATTATGAAAACGGCAACAGTCTTCCAAGATCTCACTTTTGTAGCTTGTATCACTTTGATTAAGCCTGTTATAAGACAAGGCTCCTAGGTTTCATCAAGGAGTATCAGATGTGAAACAGCATGAAGGTACTTAAGAAGCCAACTCAAAGAGTTCCTCCTCACAACATTCAGGTCTTGAGCAGTCCAAGCAAACAACGCACGTTACAACAAAGCTTAAACTTGTTCTTCATAATTATTTAAAAAACAATACTAGTAGCCTATTTAATTTTAAAAACAGCAAAAAAAAAAAAAAAAAAAAAAAAAAGCCGCCTCCCTTTCCATTTCTTATAAGGAGTCTTGAAGTTTAAATCTCTTCAGTGTGGTAGATGTGCTGGCTTTGATCTGCATAGCTCTTGGGAGTCGCTGGGGCCCTGTGCTGCCTGGG